TAAGTTTTGGATAACCGGTTGAAAAAAAAAAATTGGTAGTTATATTTAATTCTTAAAATCTCAAAATATTGAACAAAATTCAACTTTGGGACGTATAAATCTCTACTTTTGGACGATTATATGAAATTTCACATATATTAAAATTATATTTGGTTACATGTAAATGGTGTTATTTATTAAAAAATATATAAACTTATAGGAATGGATACGAGACAGGAGAATTTAATTCGAAACAAACATTATCTGAATTATTTCTCATAAAAAAAACAAAACATGATTAGATATAATTGTTATGAGTCACGGTCATAAAGTTAAATTCACTTTCAACTTTCAAATATAAAACTACGAGTACGATACGGGGACATGTAATTTAAATTGCTAAATTTAATTTCCACTTTCCTATTTATTTCAAATATTTAGACATGAAATGACAGGTACAAGAAGATAACGTATACTTTGGATAACAAAACTATGATAAATCCATGTTTAAAAAAAATAGAAATACCTAAATCTTTAGAAAACAAAAAGGCTAAAACATGAATTTTTGAATTGAAGAAAGTAATGAGAAATAAAGATGAAACTGAAAGATCAATAAAATTAAAAGTCGAACAAGGATTGTGTATGCTAGGATTACAGACAATGCCTTGTGAATGAAAATGGTGGGAGCATGTGACTTAGATTGATAATTAGATTTGTATTAGTTTGATAAAAATAAATATTTAAACGAGGAATACGGGTATCCCGTCTAAATGTTTTACCAAGTTTCTTATAATACACATTGGCAAATGATTATGTTTTAAAAAGAAACGATTATGGGACAGAAATTTTATGACATATAGAAGACGGGACGGGGCGGGGTGGGACGGGACGGGGCGGGGTGGGACGGGACGGGTCAGGACGAGACGGAAAGGGACAGGACGGGTTTTCCATTCTAAACTACACTTAAAACAATTCAAACTAAAGTCAAATCCAAATCCGATTTAACATCTCTAAGCAAACAGTTAGAAATGTTTTGATTAGTTTAAAAAATAAACATGTAATATCACTTACCATTTTTATTTAAATATTTTTAAAATTGTAATTTAAAAATTTTATTATGTAATACAATATCTATATTTTACAACTGTATGTCTATATATATTTTATCAAATAAACTCATATAACAAAATTTTACCAAAACAGCATCTACTTAAAATCGTAATTTTGTAAAAATAACTCCGCACGTACGTGCGGGTCCATCACTAGTATATATATATATGGGGTCACGTACGTATAGGGCTTCCACTACACTCCAACCAAACCAAACCAAAACAAAAACATTTTTCTTCGCAATTATTTTACAATGATGGCATGTGATGTGAAACAGAAAAAAAGTAAGATGTTTTATGAAATTTTGTACCAAGAAAATGAATTTAAAAGATTTTGCATTGATATTATTTTTTTTCTCTAGATTATAGAGTCGTCTTGGCTTTATTCTCGACAACGATGCTTCATCAGAAAAAAATTATTGATATATATATATATATATATATTTTATAAAATTAGCTATGTATATAATAATGTTGGCTTTGAAGTAACATAAAACTTATATATACCATTCTTTTTATGAAGTAATAACTTGAATATGCAATCATTTATATAGGAAGACTCTGCAAGTAAGAAACAAAACGTCCATGAATATTTATAATCATGTTAAGGATAAAGTTTGTAAACACAAACTTTTGTATCTTGCCCAACTGGTTGAATGAGAGAAATTGAAAAGATGGACAACTTTTTTTTTTCCCCCTTTGGTGCTTTATCTTTGTGTAAAGCTTTGCATGATCGGTATGAAGTTTATCAATTAAAGTTTTGGACCAATTACATATATATACATACATATGATATAAGTGTTATTGAATTTTTTTAGTGACTAGTTTAACAATTGAAAACATATGTTATTGCATGTTCATGACCATTCCAGTTTTGTATCCCTAAAAGAATAACCAGTTCGTTTTGACCCATGCTCTTATAATTTAATCGCAGCCAGCAATTAAAAAATAAAAAGATAAATTTTTAAATTTATTTTATCTTTTTAATATAAGTGAATTCATTTATAAAATTTGTAATTTATTTTCAACAAGTTTTTTTCTTTAAATTCAAAAATACAAAAATTATAAAATTTATCACATTCATTTTATATAGATAAAATTTATTCAACGTATATTTTCTAGTATCTTAATTCTTAAGTTTATAACAATTAAAATTTTAAGTCTTTATAGAAGTTTTACTCAATGAACCGATGAATCTTAATGGCCCTAAAACCTTTCGTCTCCTTAAGTATTCAACCCTTTGTTTTTTTTTTCATTGGAAAGTCCTAGTCGCTTGCTTCAAGCACAATGTATCTCCCGGAAGAACTGGTAATGGAGATACTCTCTAGGGTTCAGTTGCCTTCTTTGGCACGACTACGATGGGCATCCAAAAGATGGAACACGCTGATAAAAGATAAGATACTGTCTCAGTTTATCATGGTTGTTGGTTCTAAGGTCAATTTAGTGAGCTTTGATCTCCATGGAATCCACAAGAACGTTGCTCCATCTGCAAAGGTAACAAGTCAATTTAGCCTAAAAGATTCTAACTCTTCGGAAGAAGTCGATATATGTAACGTCTTTCACTGCGACGGCTTGTTGCTATGCACCACCAAAGACAATAGACTTGTGGTTTGGAATCCGTGTTCACGTGAAACCAGGTGGATTCAAGCCCGACCCGGAAACTCCTACAAAAAGACAGATATGTTTTCTCTTGGTTACGATAACAAATCCTCTTGTTACAAAATCGTGTGGATGTATAATACTTACTGTGATACTTTTCAGTATATTTATAAGTACCACGTCTATGACTTTACCACGAATTCGTGGAGGTATGTTGATTGGAATACTGGCTGGTTAATACGACCGTGGCTAGCTCAAGGACAGGATCTCCCTCGGAAGATCAGACGTGGCATGTATGTGAAGGGAAATACTTATTGGCTAGCTCAAGGACGGGATCATCCTTTGTTACTAAGTTTTGATTTTTCGAGTGAGAAGCTCCAATGTCTGTCTCTTCCCGAAGATATTGGTTCTTGTGATGTGAGGGCTTTATCAGTGACCAGACAAGAGCAACAACTTTGTCTGCTAGCTACTTATGGCAAAGATAATATTGTATGGATGGCAACTAAGATTGAGAGTACTAGAGCATTGTCATGGAAGAAGTTGCTAATAGCGACGGCAGCTCCTGCTCCCTATCTTCGTGAGTTTGATACTGGGGTAAGTTTCTTGGCGGACCGGGAGAAGAAAGTCATATTGTTGTATAACTCTACGTTTAACAACAACATACACATTTTGGGAGAGGATACATACATAGAAGTGAAGCATCATGGTGCAGCAGAAGCTACACAAAATTTTCACACTGGATTTCTCCTCGGCTATGTTCCAAGTCTCGTTCAAATCCAATAAGCTATCTAGTTATTTGGTGTAGGCTTAAGGCATCCACCAAACACCTGACTTGTAATTGTCACACTATGCAACTATGCATTCTATATCTATCATCAAACTCTTGATATTTGTATAGCTGGCTATTTTATAACTTGTTTCCAAAACTTTCATCTCTACCTCTTACAACCCTAAATCCTATGAAAGCCCAATTCGGTTTTAATAGATGACGAAGAAGCAAAGCACTGTAACGTATATCTTCAGGAGGATTCGCGAGATAGGTTCCAGTGTTAGCTCTGGCACCATTGCGATCAACATCCAGATGGCAATCTTGTTAAGAAGCACTATATCTATCAACATTTTCAATATATGTTCACCCTCGTTGTCATTTGGTTCCATACCAAAAAGACAACAACAATACTTGATATAGCTCACTAGAACGTATTAGCTTGCTTTGGTTGAAGAGATTATGAAGACACACACACTTATACCCAAAAAACCAGCAATACTTAATAATTCAGTAAATATGTTTATGTATGTAAATGATTCAGTAGAATATACATATATGTATATGGAATCGTCTGAGTATCTTATTCTAAAACAAATAAAACAGTAGAAACACAGAAAATATAAACATTTTGAACGAAGAGTTCGAATCCAGTTTACACCTAATTACAGGTAAATGATTACCATGATAAATTGATAACCATCTTTTACCACACCCCATTATTGTTCTTCTCCCTTCATCTCCACTTTACAGCATACGCTACCAAGTTACGAGGTACGAAGTCATTAGTACACCTAAACTGTACCAAGAACACTAAGATATATCAATGTTTGCCTTCTTTGGCTCAAGAGATTGTGACCACACACACTCACTTATATATAGGCTAGTATATCATAAATTTTAAGATAGGAATTGGATTCTAAATAGCTGTCCTGCAGCGCGAAGATTCATATGTATTCGGTTTCTGAATCTCTCTATCTAAGGCCTAGTGACACTAACACAGAATGTTCATTGTTATTGCACTATCACCAAAACAACAAAGGTTTATCCAAGTGACATTTTCATCTAATACCAGTGAAATCTTCTACTAAAAAGTAGCCATTACAATGATTGTCAATCTTGTGTAATTCAATCAAATAAGAGATAAGGTGTGGATGAACATACCAGTGGCATAAGTAAGCAAACTCAAATGCGGATCAAACCACCAATCTGAGCTTCCTCGGGGTGGAAAACATCGCTAATATCTACCGTTGAGCAGAAACTAACAACTTTATGAAACTTATTAACCGGAGAAGGCAAACGAGGCACTCTTCTCCAACTAGACTTCCCATTCTCACCACCACCAATCTCACATACACAAGCTGGAAACTTCTTGTGACAATCATCATTAAACACATAAACAAGATTCCCAGAGCCAACACATTTCAAAGACCTAAACTTGTTACTATCTTCTTCCTCCTCATCTTCATTATCAACTAATCCAAACAACAAATCCTCAGGCATAACCGCGATTTCGCTAAACTCCATCGAACCTTCTTCGATCCTCCAGAGAATAAACGAGAAACCACACATTCCACCAAGAACAAGCATATCATTACACGAATTTAAGAACGCAAACGAGAGTCCAGGTGGTTTAAGCGTTTGAACATCACTCCACGTATAAGAATCCAAGCAAAACGACGAGATGAAATACGAATAGTTATCGAAAACATAGAATCTTCTCCTGAACAAAGCCGAAGTTAGAGTTTGGTGATCCTGACCAGATCTGAAATCAGCAGGGAGTGGTGAACAAAGCTCCCACGAATCAAGAACCGGATCGTAGACTTGTACAGCTAATCTCTCCTCGATATCGACTAATCCACCGATTCGCGAAGAACCACCGACGAGGATTAACTTGGAGTAGCCAGAACGAGTCGTGAACACGCTCAACAGAGGGTTAATTCTGGGAAATCGAACAGGGGAAGTGAATCGCCAATTAGGTTTGAGAATCGGAGAGAACGAGAACCGAGGAGCGGTGGTGAAGAGGAATCGATTAGATCCGACGAGATGATCGGAGGAAGAGGAGGAGGAAGGGAGACGGAGCCAAGCGTCGGAGAGAGGATCGAAAGCGAAGGATTGGTTATGGAAAGAGCAAGTGTTGTGGATACCGAAGAGGAAGAGCCATGGTGATGAAGAAGAAGGAGAAGGAGAAGGAGATGGAGGAAGAGAGGTTATGATTGAACGCCATAGCTTGGAGACGAGAGTGAAACGGACTAAGGAAGGGATTGGGAGATGAGAGAGGATTGATTCGGTTACGTCGATGTTTAGTGAGTTGAAGGTTGATGATTCGATTTCTGGATTGTTGTCTGACATTTTTGTTGGTTTTTTGAGGTCTGTGTTGACGAAGAAGAAGAAGAAGAAGAAGAAGAAGAAGAAGACAGAGAGCGTGAAAAGTGCGACGATGGAGAACGTGTGACCGAGAATTTTGGAAATGAAATTGAAAAGTACGGTTTCTATTAAATAATTCTAAAAATAAATTAAGTTTTGATTTTATTTTTAAAAAATTATAATTTTCAAATATTACTTTTTACCGTTGAGTTTAATGATTAACAATATATCACTAATGATGTGTATTTAAATTATGTAATTTTTGATGTAATACATATTTGTATCTAATTTTATAATAAACATGAGAATTAGATGTTTTTAAAAAAGATTTAATTATTAATTTATTTAGGAAGAAAAACCAATGTATTTTAATTATGCTAGCTTTAGAAGTTTATGATATTTGAATCACACAAACCAAAACCGAAACACAAGTTTTTTTACGAATTTACCAAATATACTCCCAATAAAAAATTTATCATATATTTTTATTTATTTATATTAACTTATGAAAATTAAATCATAGAAAGTTTCTATTCCGTAGTTAGTGTAAATGTAAAACCAAAAATTTTAATTAGGAAATGTCTATGGGACCATATGTGTTGGTTGAGGATTTTATACTGACTAGTGACTACATGTGGTGGTTGAAAGAGAGGCAACTTAACATGTTTGGAGGTTTATACTTTAGGATGATCTCACAACCTTAGTATAATCCAAAAGTGTAACATATCCATGAATGTTTATGCAAATTCTTTTAGTAGTTCTATAGGTCAATGATTTTTTTTAAACCTTTCCGCAACCACTGAAACTAGGGTGTTATAAAAAAACGGTTAACTTTTGAAATTCGTTTGAATCATCATTATAGATACTAAAGTTGTCGTCATCTACTTAAGTTATGTTCTAAGATGAACATCAAGGTTAAAAAAAACAAATATTTTTTTTTTCTCGATTCATTTTCTTGAGAATTTAGATTTTCCGTCTTTAGAAATTTAAATAATTATTTAGATACTTGTGAATTGTTAGAATTGTTATTACCTTTTCTTGTACTCGAAATAATCTTTGTTTTTAAAGCTCAAACTCTATACCATTTTATTTTTTTCCAGTAATATCGTAAACCAAATAATACTATGTTTAATTTTCTACTACCACTATTTTAAACTATAGCCAAATTATTTTTTTAGGACTGAATATTTTACCTAAACATCCACTATTAAAAAAAAAAAAAAATCTTCAACACTAATGATTTATTATGTTTTTTTCTCTAATGTTGTTTACTGTTTAGTATGTAAGGTTGCACCATCCAGTATATCAGATTAATTTTTAGAGCTAAAAAGGAAAATAATTTATGTAAGTTGTATCTTATGAATTATTCAATTACATAATAACACAAAAGAAAATTGAAATCCATGAAAAACAATGCTATAAATTAATTACAAATGGCATTAGATTTTTTACTTGCAAAATTCGTCTAGGGATGAGAATCAATAGGTTGTCTTTGTCGTCGTCTTCATCCACCACACCTAACTTTCTCTTTATAACTCTAACACCACAACTGCAAAATCCAAAATATATAAAAGAACTTAGACAAATAAAATACAAAATATAATATACAATCAACATAGATTTCTATAAGCATTTAAAAACATGCTACTTTTTGTTAATACAACTGAATAATGTGGTCTTAGTCTTACATTCAGAATCAGTAGTGATCCAGTTTCCTTTCTTGGATCTGCATTGGTAGAGTGGCGTATGACCCAAGGAAACAAGGATTGCTGGTGAAGAAACTATAGAGATTTGGTCAGATGATGAAGAGTGTGTTGTGCAACTCTCACTACTCTCCCATCTCAAACTTATATTATTTGTTGATACACTACTCAATCTTTTTCTTGATTCTTCATCATTCACCTCTGATCTCATCATCTTCAACTTTTTTCTGTTTCTCAACTCCATCATTATCTGAAACATTTATATATGTTTTAAGTACTAACCCATCTGAGTTATCTAATGAGGTTTGAGCCAATGAAAGAGAAAAAAATATAACCTTAGGGGTGAAGAACTTGGCAGCTTTGTCGGATTTAGCTGCTGCTGCCCATTTGATGAGCTCCTTCATTCTTAAAAGTGTGGCCTTACCTTTGCTCGGTTCGCTTTTCGCCTTCTCTTCGTTGGTTTCTTGTTTCTCCGGTTCCAAGACTTTGATAGTCTTTTTCGGATCAAACCTTGTCGATGTCACTCCTTCTTCTCCTCCTCCTTGTGCTTTCATCTTTGCCATTGAGCGAACCAAATGTTCCCTTCTAAAGCTACTAACTCTTCTTAAATTCAGTGTGCTATAGAAACAAGCCTTTGCTACATCTTTTCTACACCATAGCCATATTCCTCTGTAACTCTTTTGGTTTCTATGTTTAGACCCTTTTGTAGATGATCTTCTTGTTCTATGATCTGTGTAATCTTGATCACATTTATCAAATGATTCTGTCAGACAACAAAATGGTTGCAAGAGTAGGAAAGCTATATAATAAGGTAAGATATATACTAAGTTAATTATAAACTATATGGATCAAGAAACAGTTTGTTACTTACTTGTTAGAGTTGTAGTTGGTTCATGATCAGAACAAGTGATTGAACTGGGCTCTGGTCTCCCTGGTTCCTTTCCCAACTTAAAGAGCCATTGAAAGATCTGATCAAAAACACACAAAGAATTAACTCTTTATAAATAAGGTCATTTGTGTTATGGACACATGTGAATGATATGGAACACATGTGACTATGACTAACCTCCATGTTCTGGCCGAAGAGATGCCTTTTTTTGATATAATATAGTATAGAGCTTGTGTGATTATTCGCTTCTGTACGTATTTTCTGGTGGGTCAAACGTAGATCTGTCCCAAATGTGTCAAACAGATTCTTCCTTACACATATAATTAGAGACTTTGGATCAGAAGATGAAGACAAGAAATGACTTGGGAAACTAAAGAAGATATAAGTGTTTTAAATAATTTGTTTGACTCAATCTAATTTGGGGTGTATAAGGAAACTCATGAACGTGGCATTGTACCAAAGTGGGTTTATATACATACACATGCTTCTTTGAGTTGTGGGTTCTAGCTCTACTTCGTATCAAGGCCTTGTTGCCATTACCCGCAGCCACACACTTGTAAGTGTAAGTCATTTAATTTTACATGGTCCCTCAAATTGAACTTTGTTTGAAAATTAGAAATTTCTAGAAGATTTAGAGCATTAGTACATGTGTATATAAGCTGCTTTGTACTTGTTGGGGATGGATTTCGACTAAAATATACTACCTAATCGTGGCTCGTATAGGCTTTAGATTTGTATGAAGTCACGCGGAGAGCCATCTTTCGCGTTATTAGGATCCGAAGTTAAAAGAAAGTAACACTAGTATATGAGAAACATGAGCCGAACTAGAAAATGTTCAAAATGTGCTACTCACCCAATTTTAATTTCCTAGTTCTTTCAATGGAGTACAAGATAGTCATGTTTAGGGTTGACCAAATTTCTTCACAAAAATACCGGATGTTGTCTGCTTAATCAAAGACTTATTCATATATAAACATTGTGAAGGGTATAGAAGAACATGCAAAGAGTCACATGGAACATTTTTTAGTAACAAATCATTACTAAAGAATTCAATACAATAATTGATACCTTACATAACTATTGTTTAATATACCTTTAGACGACATTCCCTATTAAAGTCATATCCTTGATAAGATCGATAGGACAAAACCTTGGGGTAGCTTTGGTTCTTGTTTGTGTTACATGAACTTGGGTTGAAAATGAAAGCAAAACTCAATTTATTTCAGTTAGTAATCTTGAGTGGGGAGTGTCACTCTACCTTTCGGTATCGATTTAAATTCCAACGCCGTTCGTCGAACTCTGCGAGATCGAACGTGTTATGGTTTATGCCCGCATGTAATAACGTGTGTACGTGGTTCCATATCAACCCTCTACATGCTTCAAGTACAACGATAGGCAATGATTTGGTGGCCCTATGTCACAATTATGGTATCTAACTTATGTCGTGGCTATGTCACACACGTATATTGTGGCTGGTTATATCACCTGACATTCGTAAAAATGTCTACGAACACATTTCCTAGAGAACAAACTTCATTGCAACCACAACCAAAAAGAAAAAAGGAAAAAGAAAAAACATTTTTTCCATGTGAAGCAAAAGACATTACATAGAAACCATACTTAGTATACAATGAGCGACACAACAACGAGGCTCATAATGACATTTACATAACACCAAACAATCCTAAGGCTCTCGGGTTTTCAGCAAAACCTTTCCCTTTGCATCGGCCTGGTTCTGACCCGAGAGAATATCGATGGGAACCTAAAGACAAAACCAGTTTCAGTAATCACAATAGGTTTCTACAACCAAAACCCAATGATTTATATTTAATTTTACCGGCCAATTCGGCTTTTATCGGGGATGATTTCCACTTGATCTAGGACGTCCAAATCTTCGTCTTCTTCTTGGCACAGGAGTAGAAGCATCGCCTGCATCGTTCTGCAAACGCAACTCTTCATCATCGTTGTTATTATGTTCATCTTGTAGACCCAATAGATTTTCCCCCCAAAGGTATCGTCTATCTGAAGAACGGCGATGATTCCTCCATGCCCTTGACCTGTGAGACCTTGATCCGCTACCACTGCCACTACCACTAGGACCTCCACTGTCAAGAGACCCAATCATTTGAAACAATACTAATGTGGTCCACAAGTCGCTCCCACCATTTCCTGCTTCCCTCTCACCTGGGAACCTATCTCCGTTTTCTATAACATAATCTCCTACTACAACAGCACCAGGCATGGCAGAACGGATTGCACTGACTATATCTCCATACTCCCTCTGGTTCTCAAGCCGCCTCCAAGCTCTCTCTCTTGATGGATCAGTGTCTGAAGGACGAGTTGTTGGGTGTGTCCTTCTGGCATGGCGGCGCAGATCCTGGTAGTTGCCAGTAAATGAGCAGGATTCTCGGGAGCAACTTCGGTTCTTAAGATCAAGATATGTTCTTACTTCTTCTACAACCTTCCATCCTAAAACAGTACCCCGGCAGAGTGGACATTTCAAATTTGTGAAATCTTCTGACTGTTCTTCGTCCTCCACTCTTCTCCTCCTCCTTAGCGATTCATAATCCCCAACAGAGCCTCGGTTACCAGAGCCACTGTGAAAATTGCTTCGACTGGTTGTACCATGCTCGTTTTGAGATTCATTATTAGTTTCCCTTGAAGCCAAGTTGGCCTCGGGAGTAGGGTCATTTGGGGATTCAGAATGCAGTTTCTTAAACCTGTCGAGGCAATTGGAATGTCGGTAACTGGTATCACAGATGTAGGACCTGCAACCTTTGTCATGAGAGCTGCACAGCAGTAGAACAGCATTATGTGGGTGATCCATGCAAACAGGACATGAAACCTCATCCAGTTCTTTGTGAAGAGCATGAACATCTGACTCGGTACTTAATTTTCGCTTTACACCAGCCATCTTGTAAGCACTGTGTAAGCTACTCAAGCATCGAGAGAGTTAGAAACGCTTATCGAGTTTCAAAAAATACTATTTTTTTCTCAAAAAGGAAATATATCAAGGCAAAAACCATTGTTTTTCTCAAATCAACCGTGAAACCGAGAAAACAAATCAAGAACAAATGAAGGTCAAAACCGTATGTACACCACATATAACTCTCATGTCACATCACCAAAAACAGAAGCTATAGATATCTTATACTGAGTCATGGTCATGAAACTAGCACAAAAATGAAGCTTACCGCAGGGGAGCAATCCTATCAGCAGCCTGTTGGAAAAATCTACTTTCTTACTAATTGAGCGCTGAACTTTAAACTTTAAGATGCAGATCAAATGAAGCAAACAGTATCAAACAGAAGATCCTTCAGGAATCTGAATGACACCAAATTCAGCATAAACAACTAAAACCACTATTCAGGGCAACCCAAATGTCCTTAAACCTGCACAACAATTCCAACAAAAAAAGAGAAGTAGCCATCAAAATTCAAGAAAACTAATGCATACCATTACTGCTTCATATAAACCACAGTTCCAGGTATAGTCATCATCATGCAACCCTAGTGTGCATCATCATTATAGAAGTCATATAAACATGAAACGCCAGAGAAATGTTAAAACTACAAAACCCAAACCCGAGATTTTATACAAATCTACATCATCAGTTCAATACAAAAACCATAGATTAAGACAGTTTTTGGCTTTTCAATAACAAACTTTCAACTTTAATTTCCCAAAGTTCAACAACAACAACAATCATAAGTAAACATCTGGAATCTAATCAGAAAAATTCAGATTCTTTTCTATAAATTAACAACCCTAAACCCAAATCAAAAACACCCAAATCTTCAAAATCCACAATTTTTCAACGACGGCAAATATAACAATCCTCATACCCATATCAATCAAAATTTTCAGAAAAAAAGGTTAACACAAAATTAATCAATCGATCCATCAAAACAAGATCAAATAAAATCGGGTAAGAAATTAAACATAAGACGAGGAAAATTACAAATTGGAAATTTTATTAGGAGTATGTTCTCGTCTCCCAAGGATTCGACTTGGGTTGATCAAGCTTTTGAATCGATCTCTCTCTCTAATGGAGAGATTGGGATTGGTGAACGATGCTGAGATTTATTAGGAAACTGGGTTAGGCGAAACAAAGGAGAATCGATGATTTTCTCACTTATTTATTATTATTATGGTTTATCACAATAACATCGCACTTGCGTATTTATATTTCTAAAACATTATTTATTTTCCTACCTTATTTAAATTCTAGAAACTGTCTTTGTTTTTTTGTTTTTTTTTTTCAAAATGAACCGTCCAAGTGAAGTAATTTTGCAAATTTAACCTCTAGTTAAAACAAATACATGTTAAACCCACAAAATCGAAATTAAATCAGTGCTACAACCCTTCATATATATTTTTGAATATGTTTTTTAAGATATATACTGGATTTTTTTTTCAGTTTTTCATATAGATTTAGAATTTTATCGCAAAAATTTGGTTAGAACTATATTATTTGTCATCATTTTGAAATTGTGAAAATGGTAATGAAAGATATTACAAGTTAAATTTAAGTTTACTAGACTTGAGTTGTGATTTTTGTAAACGTTAATTCGAGAAAATTATATTTTGGGATACTTTTTCTCTAAGAAACAAAATAAACTCATATGCTATCTAAAAAATATCATGCATTTTTTCAAGTTTTTTATCGGATAAAAAACAAATACGTTAAACTCACATATTCGAAACTAAATTAGTAATATAATATACTTTTGAAAAAGTTTTCTAAGACCATATATATTAGTGTTTTAAAGTTTTAAAATATATCTAGACTCTTATTATAAATGTTTTGATTCGATTATTTAACACGATTTTAAATTTCTGAAAATGGTGATAGTGAGTTATTACTACGGGTTAAATTTAATTTTTTAGACTTAATCAGCACTTTCTGTAAGTTAAAAAGGTAAACTTGCAAAACACTGAGACTTGGAGGGTATTTCTGCAAAACATAACTGTATGCTGTCTAATTTACGAAACGACGTCGTACAATTTGCGTCTGTTCCGCGAGAGAGAGACAGAGATGAGTAGTTATCTTCTGAAGACGTTAACGAAGAAGGAAGAGATCGATCGGATCATCAGAGACACCATTGATGAAGTTCTTGTCCTACGATTCGGTCGTTGTACCGACGCCGTCTGTCTTCACCACGATGATATTGTATTAACCTCACTCTTCTCTCCCAATCAATTTCGATTTAGCTAAACCCCTAATTTTTTGAATTTTTTGTTCTTCAGCTTGCGAAATCGGCGACAGATGTTTCGAAATTCGCTAAAATAGCTTTGGTTGATGTTGATTCAGAGGATGTTCAAGTGTACGTGAAGTACTTTGACATCACTTTGTTCCCTTCGACGATCTTCTTCTTCAATGCTCATCATATGAAATTGGATTCTGGGTAAGTAGATTAAGACCGGTTTAGATGTGGTTTGGATTGGTTTAAAGTTTAATTTTGGTTTTTGGTAGAACTGCGGATCATACGAAATGGGTTGGTGCGTTTCACATAAAGCAAGACTTTATTGATGTTGTTGAGGTAAAGAACCAATTCATTCATCAATGTATTAAGAAGATTTACAGACTTTGTTTATCAATTCACATCCTCTGTTTTTGTTTTATGTATAGGAAATATACAGAGGAGCGATGAAGGGGAAGATGATTGTTCAATGTCCAGTACCACCAGAGAGGATACCAAAGTATCAGCTTTTGTACAAGGATGTGTAGAGAAACTACATTACAATGCAAAATCTGTTTCTCATCCTTTGTTATGTTGGCTGTAATATTTACATTGGAGTTTTGAGATTTACATATATGGTTTTTTTGTACACAGTTGAAGAATGAGAATAATGAATATGCGGGTTTTTCGATAGAAACTGTATGTGAAAGTGTCCATCGACTGACCCGTTGTTTGTAGATTTCTGATGTTTGAAGTCAGGTTTTGCTTTCTCTTCTTTTGCTTTTTGTGGCGAGATCCATTGACATGGTCCGGAGTCGGCATGTTATCTCGGTGAATGGAGGACGGGAATCTGGGTCTACGGACCAGCATTGTTCCATTAGATTTTTCCAATCCGGAGAACAGCTTTTTGGTATGGGAGGTCGAAGTGTGTTCTTCACGATCCCGCCTTAGTGGTAAAAAGTAGGAATAGATAAGCATAGAGTGACTGCTGTTTTGAGGTAAGTGAAACGGAAAGAAAGATAGTTTTGGACTTACCAATGATTGCTCCACAGTGCATATCTGCATAGGGTTCCTCTCCAGTTAGAATCTCCCACAGCGAGATCCCATATGAAAAAACATCGACCTGTTCAGAGCGTAAAGATTATGGGTTGTGTATTCTAATGGAAGATAAAATCAAGTTGTTGAAAGAAAACTAATGGGAGAGTGGTTTAATTAGTCTACTTTCTCAGAAACCCGGGTGCTGCTTCCGTTCAAGAGTTCTGGAGCCATCCATGGAAGTGTTCCTCTCACTCCCCCAGATACCAAAGTGTTACGTTTGATTCTAGATAAGCCAAGATCTCCAACCTGCAGAAATCAGGATTTCATGTTTGAGTATTGGATTTTTGCCATCTTGGAGCAACCATGGGAATGGTATTCTCATCAATAATGTTACCTTGCATATAGGGCGTTGTGGATCTCTTAGATTGACTAGTAAGTTTTCGCATTTGAGATCAAAGTGAACAATGTTCTTTGAGTGCAAATACTCCATGCCAAAAGCAGCATCCATCGCAATTATTATCTTTTTTCGACAATCAAGCAATCTGCGTTGGCGTTCTTGCTGATTAAGTCTCTTTCAGATTCAGAACGCAAAGAGAATTGCAGCAATGAATAAAGTTACCTGTCCTTTTTGAGAAGAGCATGCCTGAGTGACCCATTCACCATAAACTCCGTAACAGTTGCCAAAGTTCCCCCAGTTCCATCAGGGACTATACCATAGAATGCAACTACATTTGGGTGATGAAGATTTGAGAGTATCTGTGCTTCCCTCCAGAAATCTTTAGTCTGATAAAGCAAAAGAATGTAAGCGTCGTATTGAAGAAGGGATGCAAAGGGAAAGACACATCTAGCCAAAGCCAGAATCCATGGTATATGCATATGACCAAGAACATGACACCACATACAAGGAAAGCACTCGGGATTTATCTCTACTCCGATATCAGTTAGCTGGACAAGCATAGTTATGTATGTCCAGACTCCAGAACTTAAAAAATGCAAGAAAGATATAAAAGAAACATAAGATTTGAAGACTAACCAAGCGTTCTTGTTCAGATGATCTCCCCGCAAAGCAGCTTTTTCTTATTCTCTTTATCGCAACATCCGTCCCCCGCCATGTTCCATGGTAGACAGTTCCATATGTCCCGGATCCCAGTTCTGTTAGGTCTTCAAGATCAGCGTTCTTTATTATCTGAAGGTTTACAATGAAAAATTTTCAATTTCTAAAGCTCATTAAACAAGAGAATCGGTTTCTGCATGGAGTCTTTTTTAAAGAAGAAGCAGCAGAAGCGTTGTATAAAGAAGAAGATAGTAGCAAACCCAGAGTGTACCTGCAAACCATAAACACTGGCTTCCATTTCAACAAAGAGTGTGTCTTTATAACTGTTTTCTTTCTCGCCGATATTGGCTTCAGCTTCCTGTCGACAAGTGACAATAATGAGAAAAAAATACCCTCCCTCAACTTATATTATAAGCTTGCAACAAGTAAATCACTACCTCAGAAAGGAATACTGTATCATCGCTGTTCATCTTTGCGTGTGGAATGCTTTGTGGTGAATCTTCTCTTTCGACAGATAGTATCTTCAAATCGTAAGTGTCACTCGCTATGGCTGGCGCTGGCTGATTCAAATCCATGCTTGGGATTCGCACATGGCCTAACCCACCTTCTCTTCCTGTTCTCTGCAGGCCAGTTTCTACTGTTAGAGTGTGATAAGAGGATAATTATGTATTGGGCTGAACATAAAGGAGAATCTGGATTATTGAAATACTCACATTGTTTTGTGTTAAATCAAGTTCTAAGATCCTAGTCTCATGACCAATCTTCCTGTTTTCTGAATCAGAGGCAATGCTGAACAAGAAATTATCATCAGAGCCTGCTCTCTTATTTAAAAACATCCCTGAAACTTCCAAGTTCCTTTCCCGAGCAGCACGAGCTTCAGGTTCCTCATTTGGTGCGTTAGCTGCAATGCCTTCCTCTAAGGAAATTAGATTAGCAGATGAGGTTCCAGCAATCAAACGCTCATTATCTTGCTTTATTTGCTTCCACGGATCAACAACCACTGAGCTTTGGTATCCATATGTAGGCAACTTCTTGCGGTCCATGTCACTATGTGTTGCTTTAGTCCCCATAACTTTCCCTCCTAGATGAAAAATCGTGTCATTGTACCCTCCTTGATTCTTGGTTTCCTGATTTAGATAAATCTCATCATAATGATTGCCTGCAGCAGAAATGTCTATATGCAATGTCTTGTTTTCACCGGATAGTCCTGGTCCTCCTGGCCGTGGGGAAAACTTAAACATAGTCTCTCCTCCCTCAGTGGACTTCATATCGAGTATATCACTTTGTGTACGACGGTCAGCAAGATCAGTATTCCTATGCACCTGCACTGGGTTTTCCTGTGTTTGTTTCCTTGTAAAGTTCAATGTTGAAGACGGGCTTTGTCTCTCTTGTGAAAAGTAACTAGAATGTCCACCATTAATCTCTAGTGTAGAGTCTGAGTACGAGTGTGGGATTCCCAAGCAAGAATCATTTGAATTGGTAGACCCAGAAAAGGAGACCTTAGATTCCTCGGGCATACTCACTTTATCGCTGTAGACCCTTCCATTATTCGCAGACCTCTCAGGGTTAAAGTTAAGTGTATCAACATGGCTGGGACTTGGAGTCACAAGTTTTTCACTGAAGCCATTCTGGAACTGAATCCCATATAGGTTCTCTGCTTCATGCTTGTTAGACTGACAGTTTACTGAAGGTAATGGTCGCTGTTGATGATATTTTGAATCAATCGCCTCGAAGCTAGACGTGTCTGGTTGAGCTGGACTGAAGGAATTATTGCTCTCGGAGCTGGAGTTGTTGCCAGGGAATGGTGAGTATACACCATTTGAATCCCTTTGCTGGAATGGTGACGGAGAAACAGGAGGTGATGGATAGGAAGGCATGTTATATTGAACTCCATTGAAAAGCGGATTCGGGTGCATATTAGTAGTATCCAGTCTGAGCATCTGACCCAGTGTTTGTTTACAGATACTTGGACTGCGATCCAAGTTGTTTACATGATAACGTGTATCACCAGCCAAAGTCTGACCAACAACAATATTCCTGGGAATAGGATCAGCATTATATTGGCAATCAGGAGTGGTCTGCTGAACCTTTTTTTCAGGCTCCCCTATAGGAATCAGGAACAGTCGTGGCCTTTGTGAACCCTCGAGCCTTTCTAGTCCGTTGTACTCCTCGATCATATTCTGAAGATCCTCGTCCGAAGATACTGATATTAGGGAGTCAAGCTCATCCCCTGGAAGCTGATACTTGATAGAATGAGGTTGTTGGCATATATTCGAGGTCTTCTTCTTGAGTTCTTCCCATGAAAGGTTCTTACGGATCGAAATAATATGCGTCTCTCCTCCTACGTATTTAAGTTTTTCATCAGTGGATCTTGGCATAATCCTACCACCAAAGCTGCAAAGAAACTTAACTTTCCCGAATCTATCGAAATCCCCTCTTCCGGTATAGTTGTTGGACTGAACAGGCTCTGGTATGAAACCACGAGGCGTAGACCTCCCAGTAACATCCCCTCGGTTGGAGTTTATCTCACCAAAAGCTTTCCTAGCTATAACTTCATTTTCACCACCTACATTATGGTAAGCACTATAATGAGGCGGCATATAACCACCATTCTCAACCCGTACAGAACTCCTCGGGTCTCGTCCAAAATCATAAGCATCAGAAGGACATTCCGATTCGATCCTCCTCAGTTCATGAAACCGAGCAGCGCTGTCATAACCCGGTAGATGATTCTGGTGATAGTAAAGGTCCCCAAATCTATTCCCATCATTATGAGTTTTGGCTGAAACAATAGGAGAGTGGACAGGAGTATTGTTATGATCCTTGAGAAACTCCATGGAAAACTCTTCCCCAGTCTGAAGTGAAACGTTTTTATTATTATTCACATTTCTTCTCTCAGCCAAGACAGCTGCTTGTTCCGCGTTTTGCCTTGCCCATCTATCTGACATAGTCTCTATCTCACAAAACAAAAGCTAAGAGCTTTGTGATTTAACAAACGCGCAGGAACAGAAAAAGAGAAGCTGTGAAGAATGTAACTCCAAAAACAGTGAAGAATCAAGATCTTCAGTTCACACCTGAAACATCATTGAAGGAGAGAAATAACTCAACAGAATTAGTCATCAGACAAAAGTAGCAAAAAAAAAACATATGTGGTGGCATTGGCAATAAAATAAAAAAACAAAAGAAAAGAGACAACACTTACTATGTTTTGTAATAAAAAGATAGAAGCTGCTATAATCAATTATGGCCAGCTTAAAAGATAGAACAGCCAGCTCAAAAAAAAACTTCACGTGTAGGACGACGACCTGTAAAGATTTATACTATTTAATGAAATAACAAAAAGATTAATCATGAAATAATAAAAACAACAGCCGAATTCAAAATTAAAGAAAAGTTTCAATCATTTCAAAAAAAAAAAAAAAAAAAATCTCATCAGAATTTTGAAAAATCAACATCGGGTAAAACTTTGATTTCCTCAATTTTCAAACCAAAATGAGAAGAAGGAAAAACAAAATTGGCAAACACGATCATTAGAATCTATAGGATTTAGATGAAAGATACCTTTTTCACATTCGAACTGAGGAGGAAGGGTCGGAGAATCGAATCTGTGAGAGGAGGAAAAAAAAAAAAAAAAAAGAAGAAGAATCGAAGAAAACGGAAGAAACGAGGGAGGAGGGAAGATGGTGAAAACAGTTTTGGCTGCAGAGAGGGAAAAAAAATCCAACATTGGCGAGAATTAAGCGCCATCGAACTTTACCGGAACTTCCGCTGTTTTTTTATTTTCAAATTGAGAAAAAAAAGTAACCTTAATCGCTTTTCAGGGGAGAGATTCATTTTTTCGGAGACGAAACAACGATGGATCAATCACGAAAACGGCGTCGTATTTGCGTTTCTTTGGTTTTACAATGATCCGGCCCATATTATAGGCTTTCTCGGCCCAAACTGTGTGATTTGGAGTGTTGATATTTTAAGTGTTAAGTTTCAACACTTGAGTGAAACCCCATGAAATGTTTTAACCATTTCAGATGGTCTAGCATCTTCATCCATTAGGATATGCTATTGAATTTTCTTAACAAATAAAGGTTAGTAATTTATATAATTTGGTCAGATAACAAAAGTTTAATGGTGTCAAAATGATTTGAACCACTCACGGTTCAAAAAAAATTTCAATTATCTTTCCTAAATACCATTAGTGTGGTGCTCTTACCTTGTCACAATATCGTCCATCTAACTTATGAAGACTGTGACATTCACAAATGCTTTTATTGTGACATTCACAAAAATTTCAATTATCTTTTATTGTGACATTCACAATATCGTCCATCTAAACTGTGACATTCACAGTTTACAAACCAACACAATAAAAGCATTTGTGAGTATGTGACACTCACAAAATTAGAAAGACAGTACAAGAAAATTATTGTAGATAGTTGTAATCGGTTCAACATTTTTTTAGTATTTGAGTATATCCAATTTGGAGATAAATAATAGGTTCAACATTTACTAAATATTAAAAAGTACAACAATGCTTACCAATTAAGCTAATTACTAGATGATGACCCGCACGTACGTGCGGGTGTATTTTCAAAGCATAGTTTGCTGGTTTAGTTTTCTTAAATAATGTAATGTGATTTGGCTTTTTATAATTTTTTTATTTCATTTAATTGAAGGATTAATGATTGCATTTGTTAACTGGAGTAGTATAATAGAAATTGTTGAATTGGAAAACCAAATTTTATAATGACAAAGTCTTGAAGATGGTATTGAAAGAAATGTAACCGAAGTCATACTTGCAGGAAATGAAAAGAAAAAATGGAGACACATATAAAGATAGTTTGTGTCTATAAATATAAGTATACACATATGTTTTTGATAAATTTCAAATTTTATAGTGACTTTTTGTGTTTATCGCTAATAATCTTTTGGGAGGATTATACACCATCGATGAATTCTTCTCTTATTTATATTAATACAAATGGAACTTAGGGATTCGAAGTAATGAATAAATTGTTTAAATTTAGTTATTAATGTTTATTATAGTTTTGAATTTCGAAATTGTTAGGTATGATTTTTGGGTTTAGGAAACAAAATTAATCGTGATTTGATGAATCAAAACTAATGAATAAATTGTTTGCTATATATTAGGAATGTATTTTTATGAGTGATTATATTATTTATTAAACCCAAAATTTCGTGGATGAAGGTTCATTTAATTTTATGAGTTTTCTAAAATTGTTTCTATCTAAAATTGTTTGCTATAATTTAGCAAAAATTGTTTCTATTATTTTGGTTATGTAGTTTTTTTAAAATAGATTGGTTTTGTTTTACTTTTTTGATTGTATAAACTATGATTGACTTATACAAAATACTTCTCTTTTAATAGTATATATTATTAAATAGTAATAATTACCAAGTACAACAACAACTTACGTTTTTCGTAAATGTTATTTTAAATTTTACGTAGGTTGAACTTGACTTCATCTACTTTTACGTCTCCATTAACCAAAGTTTGCATCCTTTGATACATGATTATTTTCTTAATTAACTAAATAAATATAAATCGTTGGTTAGAATAAAAACTTTTTGAAGCAAAGCCGCTATTTGATATCCATGGATTAATTATAACAACAACATGAGCGATGATTAAATGTAAAATGACTACTACATTTTTATTTTGTGCATTGACGACTAGATTTATACGATGAAAGAAAACTTTAATTTAAGTCACGCTTTGGCTACTACACCAAATCTCTCTTGTTAGTCTACTCATCATCCTTCTTAATGAACAAAACAGAATTAAAGCGAAGAAAACCTTTAAATTTCTTCTTCTTTTTTTTTTTACTTGTTGTCAATATTTTGATTATTGTATCATTAAAAACACGACAATAGAATTATTAATTAGAAACATAGTATTAAATATCTGAACTGAACGAATATTATTATTTAGCATAAATAAAAAGTATATCAACAATCCCAAATAAGACCACTAGTAACATCACTAGAGAAACACCATTATTATTTTAGCATACGTAAATGATTAACCACACTAGAAATGAAAACGAACAATCCCAATAATATTACTATTACTTGAGAGAAGACATGTACACCATTATTATTTAGCATACGTAAAGACTTGAGAGGCAGAACAACCAACGAGTCTCTGACAATGAGCGGACCAGTTCTTGTATCTTCACATAAGGTAAAGGCTATCAATATGATCCAAGTAGGTTCGAACAGTTTGGTTCTTACGAACCACTCCTGGAATCATAAACTTTCTGAATGTTGTTGAGCCAGTACCGTAATACAACACAAAGTCATCATTGCGGTCGGCACCGTAAGAGTTTTGTGCAAAAACAAGTTCTGTTTCGCCAATGGTTCCTTTGAAATAAAACTGCTTGTCTCCAACAGTTTCTTCCCAATGAAGAATCTCGATGCTGATTCTCTCCCATTCGTGTGTACTTTCATCCAGAACCCATAAATCGAAAACTTTAGTCCCATTGATCGGTACATTCTCAGAGTCTTTGTCAAAGTCATCGTCATTGTTTGTTACCAACGTTGTAACTTGTGAGTGTGGGTGATGATCACTTGATGAGTCAAACGCGTATAACTCATATCATGGCTTTACATCTAAAAACAACGAAAAAGTAGAATTTCAACTCCACACGTTAAGAACTTACTAAAAATAGCATAGAGATTACTAGATACCCATGCATGAAAAGTGTCATTTTCTTTCATCGTCTTACACATTTTAGTAGTTTGGTTCTTTTAATAATACAATAATCACACGCCAAAATAATTGATAACAAGTTAACCTTCACTTTATTTCTGTTTTGTTTATTGACAAGGATGATGAGTAAACTTAACAGAGAGATTTGGTGTAGTAGCCAAAGCGTGACTTGAAAGGTTTACTTTCATCGTACGAATCTAGTCGTCAATGCACAAAATAAAAATGTATTAGTCATTTTACATTTAATCGATCATGTTGTAGTAGACCTGTTGTTGTTGTTATCTAGTCAATGTACAAAATAAAAGTTTCATCGCTTTCAAAAGATGACCTTCTCCATACAATATTGGGTTTCTTGATCTTCATTCTTCAATGATAGTGAAACCAGCACATAAAAGCATTTGTGAAATAACATTCACAACAGAATTAAGCAAGACAAAATAGTACCATAAAAAGTCTATATATAGTGATATTTAATCAAAGATAAAAGAAATCTATAGTGATTTAGAATATTCTAGAATTAAAATAAATATATACCCATATTTTTACATAACAACTATTTTACTTATTATAAATTCCATATATATTAACATAGGAAAACCATAAACGCTATAAAAAAACTCATTCTAAATGTTATAATACAAGACCATACATTTAATATAGAAAGAAAGTAAAAATGAATATAAAAATGTTATAATACAATAAAAATAAATTATGAAGCTTAATATACAATCGGTTAAACATTTACAAATTATTAAAAATTATTACAAACTAAATATCCAATATGCACTACATAAAATTACAGATGATGAAACTGTATTAAGCGAGCAGTATTTGAAGTAAATTGCTTTCCAGCAAACAAATGCTACTCCTCAAATTTCAAAGTAATCCATTTGCATCCATGTAAACGAAAATATAGATCAGAATTTAGTTTCACTTTTGTGTTACATATATGATGATACTTACGTTTTTCGAAAATATATTTTTAATTTTACCAAGGTTTAACTTGACTTTCATCAAACCTAATATCATTATTTTCTACACATAATAAATCACTTGCGTCTCCATTAACCAAAGTTTGGATCCTTTGATCCATGATTATTTTCTTAATTACATTGGTAACCAAAATTATAATTCGTTGGTTTTAAAATGACAACTTTATGAAGCAACACGCAATTTATAACAACAACACGCGATTAAATGTAAAAATGAATACATTTATTTTGTGCATTGACGACTAAATATATACAATGAAAGAAAACCTTTCAAGTCACGCTTTGGATACTACACCAAATCTCTCGTGTTACTCTAGTCATCATCCTTCTCTACAAATAAAACAGAATTAAAGTGGAAACCTTTTTTTTAAAGAAAATGTTAACTTCTATATCAATATTTTGGCGTGTGCTTATTGTATTATTAAAAGAACAAAACTACTAAAATGTGTAAGACGATGAAGCAAATCTGTCACTTTTCATGCATGGGTATCTAGTAATCTCTATACTAATTTTAGTAAGTTTTTAACGTGTGGAGTTGAAAATTCTACTTTTCGTCGTTTTTAGATGTAAAGCCATGATATGCAAATAAAAAGATATACGCGTTTTGACTCATCAAGTGATCATCACCCACACTCACAAGTTAACACGTTGGTAACAAACAATGCATGAGAGTAATCTCCTATAAATATCACATCTATGTGTTTAGGTCTCTCCATAACTCATAACAGAAAATATCATTACAAATACAAAAACAAAACAAAAACAAAAAGAATGGAGAAAACAAGTTTCGAAACACTTTCTAAAGATCTACAAATTAACATTCTCACACGTTTGCCTCTGAAATCATTGATGAAGTCACTCGTCGTCTCAAAGACATGGGCAACTATGATCCGTGAGAAAGAATTCAATGTTGATTACTTGGAGCGATCGACGACAAGGCCTCGAGTAATGTTCATGGTCGAACGTTATAAACCAGAGCCACACGAACCTGTGATGTCGTGGTTTGACACTGTTTACAAAGAGCAAAGAGGTATACGCGCAACACCTTACAGTGAGGTGTTGTTTCACTCTGTTTATCGAGATGAGGAACCATTTCTGTCGTGTGGTCAACAACAGTTGCGTCTTTCTCTACATTCAGTCTATGATGTTTCTCAACCCATCCGAGGTTTGATCTGTCTTAAGTTACGAAACAAGCTTGCGGTTTGCAATCCCGGTACGAAAAAGTTTCAGACTTTACCGGAGATACAAGTGCGAGAAGATTCAATCATATCAAGTTTTCTCGGATACGATGAAGCTACGGATGTATTCAAAGTGTTTTGTCTCACGAGGATGAAGTCTGGTAAACCATTAGACGGAACTAAGGAATATCTAGTCTTGACGGTGGAATCCACCGGTCAAGAATCTTGGAGATCGATCACATGTGAGTATGATCATGAACCACTTACTGAAGGAATATGTAAAGGAGGGGTTTTGTACTATGGAGCTTATATATTTCAACCCGATGAAGCTAATGATCAGTCCTATAATGACACATTAGTGGTCATGAGCTTCAATGTGAGGTCTGAAGAGTTTAGCATCATTAGATATCCTAATCCTGAAGCTGCTTTTCAATGGTTGAGATTTGTGATTTACAATGAAAAGATTGCCTTAGTGGATGACGCTGACTTTGATAAAGAATCTTTGAATGTACCCATCAATGGGAATAAAGTTTTCTATATATGGGTTATGGATGAACGTACACGAGAATGGGAGAGAACCCGCATTGAGATTCTTGATTGGGAAGAAGCTGTTGGAGACAAGCAGTTTATTCAAAGGAACCATTGGCGAAAGAGAACTTGTTTTTGCACAAAACTCTTACGGTGCCGACCGCGATGATGACTTTGTGTTGTATTACGGTACTGAATCAACAACATTCAGAAAGTTTAAGATTCAAGGAGTGGTTGGTAAGGACCAAACTGTTCGAACCTGCTTGGATCATGTTGATAGCCTGTACCTTATGTGAAGATACAAGAATTGGTCCGCTCATTATCAGAGACTCGTTGGTTGTTCTGTCTCTCAAATCTCTACGTATGCTAAATAATAATAATGGTGTGTCTCTCAAGTAATATATAGTACTAGTGGTTTTATTTGGGATTGTTCGTTTTCATTTCTATTGTGGTTAATCTTTAAGTATGCGAAATAATAATGGTGTTTCTCTAGTGATATTACTAGTGGTCTTATTTGGGATTGTTCGTTTTCATTTCTGTTGTCATGCTAACATTTATTTATGCTAAACAAAAATGGTCGTTCAGTTCAGATATTTATACTATGTTTCTAAAGTATAATGTTCGTTCAGTTCCGATTCTTATACTAGTTCCTAAATAATAATAATTTTATATGGTATTTTGGTTTACCTTTTGTAAAAAATGCCAAACCGATAAAAAAGATACAGATTTATTAATACGCAAAAAGTTTTATTTAGGAATGGTTACTTTATAAGTTCTTCTCCAAAGATGATCTCAACGTGGTATATATATACATTGATAAATTCGCAACACTGCTAAAACAGAAAATTTATGTGAAGAAGTTGAATCAATTTTGGAAAATTTATAAGGTGTGTGATTTGGGGTCTGACGATATGGCCTTAAAATCCAACGGGCTAGACATCAGGATAAGAATAATATGATCGGTTTAGTATGTATTGTCATAACAAAAGTTAGTATTTTCTAGCATCTTCATGAAAAACAAATTATCAAAAAATGTTAACTTATTAATGAGATGGCTAGTCATAATTTGGTTATTTTAAGAAGTATTAAATCTTACCAAAAAAAAAAAAGAAGTATTAAAAATACAAATATTAACTAATGAGATGGTTTATCAGTAAGTAGGTTCAATATTTATTACCGTAGTAGTATATATATAGTATAAATTATTATAAAACTGGTATTAAATATCAAGATAATTATTTAAACTGTTATATAAAAAATATGGTGGTATTGTATTGGCATTGACCTATGTAATACTTCAAATTTTAGTGGAAAGATGGCCAGTTCGAACCTTTTTCGTTTTTAAGTTAAAAAAATTGGTTAATGAGTAATGACAATTGTGAAAACATAAAAAATAATTGTGTATGACTTATTAAATACCCAACATAAGAAATATAAACTATGGAGTCAATATATGACTATATATGAAATAAAATTAATCGTAAGTACTAATGTTCATGTGTCTTGATTAACGGTGATAAACCAGCCAGCCATGTGGCTTGTCTTATGTGCCAAAGTCAATGCCAAAACAAATGTGCTTCGAGTAATGCTCTCCTTAAACTTCCCACCTTTTCCATATATTCTATACTTTTAATCCTACTAATACATTAAAAGTGCATATAGATTGATTTAAAAAAAAAAAAACATTATTCGAATTACTTACATTCTTCTTCAGGGACAATATAATACTATATGGAATTGTAACCATCGCATTGTTCATTCGAAAGTTCTTTATTTCATAAAATTTCGATTTTTTCTTTGAGAAACTCTTCAATATAACATTAATAATATTTATGCACATGGGGCACAAATGATATAAATATGTTTACAATCTGTATATTATTATACAGATTGAGATTGCTTATGTAAATTCACCCATAATGAGATGTCTTTTCCTGATTTGAAGCTACCAATGTGATCATAATTAGCTAGCTAGTGATCATAATACTCGTACGGCTGTATAATGTTGTATCTTATTAAACTTTAAGAAGTCAGCTTTGGTTTTCTTTATAAAATAATCCAAAAAAAAATTGAAGTAGATAGAGACATGTTAATATAAATTGTATCAAGAAATTACTGATATTTACAAGAAATTAAACTCCGTAAAATATATTTTTCAAAGTTTAAAATTTTAGATTTGTTCTTAGATTTTGCATTTGTAGTTCCTCTAAAGACTAGACGTAGCAAAAAAATTAAATATGTATTGGAAGTTAGGGTTGGCATAACAAAAATAAAAACTAATTAAACGTGTACTCATTTTAGAATTATATCCGAGTACAACATATAAACCTTAATTAGATTTAATTCATAGAAATTGACTTTACGTATTAGCCAAAATCACATGCTTTATAATAATATCAGTTTGATCAGCGCCATCACATTTCTTTGCATCAATATATAATATCATCTATATACATTGTACTTACAATCATGCAAATACGTTTATATATACCTTTTAACAAATAAAAGACATGCAAATACATTAATAAAATGCATGGCATTATCCATATAACCACGACATCAGAATTCTTATTATAAAACGTTATACCTAACCTCAAATTTTCTTAAGTCGGCGTATTGATTGAAACTAGAGAATAATATATATACATAGAAAATTTAAACGTATAATATATGAAGCATGAACATTAGACGTGGTTCCCATGCAACTGGTAGTACTTGAAAGGCAATAAGAAACTTATAAATTATGTACTTAACTATTATTAGTTAAAATTAGATAATATGTACCTATGTTCACTTATATCCTAAAAAATTCAAAATAACACTCGTTATGAAACAAAAATAAAGTATCCAAACCATCTTTTTTTGAGAAATTTCATATTATTCGATGATTATAAAATAAAAAGTTTAGTTTGATGTAAAAACGTAATATTATAGCGAAAATTAACAAATAAAGAATTATTTATCACAAATAAAAAAATTAGTGAAAATCGGATATTATTTTATTTTAAAATGTTCACAATTACCAGAAAAATGCAGATTTTTAAATTAAATCTTGGTATCGTCTTTAAATAAATCAAAAACACTCTTAAACATTTCTTTTTTCTTTCTTTTTTTCAAAAACACTCCTAAACATTTAAAATATATATATTAATATGCGCATTAACGAAGACATGTAAATTTTAGAAAATTGTCAAATTTTTTGATAAGTATAGGAATTTGGTAAGAAAGAACTAACCAAAAAGTGATTATATACCTTTGCCTTAAAAAAAAAATGAATATGGTTAATAAGTCCAGAAAATAAATAAGTCTAAAACAATGTGATTCAACCATATATATCACGGAAGGCGACAGTTAATAAACGCCGTCAAAAAGAAACTGATCTCACCCCCAAATAAATATAAATCTTAACGTCGACTCGAAAAATAAATAGTTAACTCCGTTAAGCTGCTACAAGCTTCTTCCTACCTTCGTTGCTTCCTTATATATAAACCTGGTCTCATCTTCACCTTCTTCAACTTAGATCTCTCTCTCTCTCTCTCTCCTCTCATCTCACATTTGTCTACATTATACAGAGAGAGAGCTTCAATATATATACAACAACAATGGTGGTCTTTAACAACAGAAGCTTCTTAGCTCTCTTTGCAACTCTACTCATTCTAGCATTATCTGTAAATGCTTCAACAATGTAAAAAGCTTTCTATATTTCTCGAAAACATTCCAAATCTTTCATACTAGTGAAAACAGAGAAAGTAACTTTTTTATTTTCTTGTGTGTGTTTTGTTTTACAGAGCTAACGAAACAGAGGAGCTAAACTCTCATAGCTTGAGTAATACTTCATCAACGGTTGATAAGTCAGTGTTCTATAACTTCATTCAATCTCAGCCGTCTAGATTTCACTCAACGAAACAAACGACGTCGTTTTGAAAATGCTCTGTTTTTTTTTTTACAGGTTACCTAACGACGACGGTGCATGGAACGAACACGCCGTTAAAAACCCAGACGAAGTAGCTGCAATGGTCGACATGTAAGATCTCTCTCTCTCTCTTTTTTATTATGTAAAAACGAAAATATAATTAGCAATGATTTATTAATTTATAAAATTATTTACATCTTACTTTCATCAAAATAGCGTTTCAGGTAGTCAAACGTTGTTATTAAATTCACATAAAATTTAATTTTTTTCTTTTAATTCTATATTCTTTATTTAGAAACCACAACTTGGGTTTATTATTGTGACAACACACACACGCCGTGATCGCCATTTAATCCGCCTCTGTCGTCGCTATTTCCTCCTCTCCCCCACCGACGCAATTTTTAATTTAATGTATTCACAAATATATTTTTGACGACAAAAAAAAAAATAATATTTTTAAAACATCTAAAAATAGAAACAAAAAGAATGATTAATAACAAAAATAAAAATATAAAAAAGGTTTCCGTATAGTTCCGTATCATATGGTTACATTTATTACACCACATGGTTCATGATGCTTCCGTCTTCTTCTCAGTTCTCATCCACGTGACTTTGTTGAACCCCGAAAAGGTTATTAATGTGAAATCAAAAACTTTAGGGTTAGTTGATAATAAAGTAAAACTTTACAGGCTAACTTGTAATAACTTTAAAAACTAAGCTCTCTTTTTGTTATTCTTTTAAAATTGATAGGACGATTAAGAACAGTACGGAGAGGAGGAGGTTAGGATTCTTCTCATGCGCCACCGGGAACCCAATCGACGACTGTTGGAGATGTGATCGGAACTGGCATCTCCGACGTAAGCGTCTCGCGAATTGCGCGATCGGATTCGGACGCAACGCAGTCGGAGGAAGAGATGGTCGTTACTACGTCGTTACAGATCCGTCAGACCACGACGCGGTTAACCCTCGTCCCGGTACGCTCCGTCACGCCGTGATCCAGGACCGACCGTTGTGGATCGTGTTCAAGAGAGATATGGTGATTACTCTGAGTCAGGAGCTGATCATGAACAGCTTCAAGACGATCGATGGGCGTGGCGTGAACGTTGCGATCGCTGGTGGTGCTTGTATCACGATCCAGTTTGTGACGAATATTATCATTCATGGGATTAATATACATGATTGTAGAAGGACTGGTAACGCTATGGTGAGGAGCTCTCCGTCGCATTACGGGTGGAGGACTATGGCGGATGGTGATG